ACTAAAGTTTTTTAGCTTCACCTACCAATCTATAACTCTTTCCTGTTGTTCAAAGCTGGACACTTTGTCATTTTTTTTTTTTTTTTACTCCATCCTCTGCCCACATCTTATCAGTTTCTTGCATTATCTATCTTAATGGCACCATTAATCCTGTCACTCAAACCAGAAATGTGAGTGTCATCTTTTCCTCATCTCCACCTCCACTGCCAATTCAGTTATCAAGTTCTCTCATCTACACAGTTCTCAGATCTCTGCCTTCATCTCCAACCTTGTCACCACTAGCATATTTTAGGTCCTCAGTCTCGGACTCTTGGGATCACCTTCTAATTACTCTTCCCATCTCCGATCTCTCTCTTCATTTTTCCTCTCTATCCTCTTTTGCAGCCAGTAATCTTTCTAAAATGAAATCCAACCTTGTTCTTTTCTGAGAAATCTTAAATGGCTCCCTGTTGTTTTCAGAATAAAAAGCACACTCTAGGGCTGGCCCGTTAGATTTGTAACACCAAGGTCAAGGATTCAGATCCCCACACCGGCCAGCTGTCAAGAAAAAAAAATGGCACACTCTTTCTCATAGACGAAGGTATTTTAACACTTTCATAATCAATACTAACAACTAACACTTCGTCAGCACTTATTATGGGTCAGGCAGCATTCAAGATGCTTTACATTTATTAACTTGTCCTCACCACAACCCTGTAAGGAGACATTACTACGATTATGTGCTTGGCCCATAGTAGATGCTCAATGAATACCATTGCATGAACACAGTCCTCTTTTACAGACAGGGAAATGAGGACTGGGACATTAAGTTACCCAAGATTTCATAGCTAGTAAATGGTAAAGAAGTTACACAGGCTAGTCTGACTACAGGGCCTACAAATGTTGTCCATTATATCCCAAGGCTCTTTAAAATCACAGCATAACCTACTTTTCTGGCTTCATCTCCAGATACTTCTTGTTGTTTTTTTTTTTTTTTGCGACTGGTAAGGGGATCACAACCCTTGGCTTGGTGTCATCTGCACCACGCTCAGCCAGTGAGCGCACCAGCCATCCCTATATAGGATCTGAACCCGCGGCCTCGGCGCTCCCGGGTTCGGCCCTCCGGATACTCCTTAGTGTCCATCTTCTACCTTAGTGACTGTTCTCTGAATTTACCACCCTGGTTTATACTTCCCCACCTTTACTCGGGCTCTCTGACCAGGAATGCCTTTCTCTTTGTTCTTGGTCAGGTGAGCTGTTTTCAGTTTTCAATACAAAACTTTCTAATGACACATGTGGGAAGCCGTCCTTGATCCTGTGGCAGAATTACTCACACCGTCTCCTTTCGCTCCCACAGTACTTTATAATTACAGCCAGTCTAACGCTATATTATGGTATTTGTGTGTTTGCGTCTCTCCAGGTTGTGTTCTCCTTCAGGGCAGAGACTGGATTTCATTCATGTTTGTGTCCCCAGCCTGGCATATAATCAGGATTCAATTAATGTTAAATGAATGAATAAATGAATGTCTTTGATTTGACTTTCCAAAAGATACAGCAAATATTTCTTTGAGAGTGCATTTCTTATAATCACTTTTCTACAGAAGCTAAGGGCATAAGATTAAATCTTAATTTAGCAAAGGCCTTTGGTAAGAAACTATTTCAATACCAACACAGAATCTTGCTTTCTGACTTTAGTTGATACAAGGGTGTCAAGGAAAAGTTACAAAGACAAATCTTCAGTGCACTTAGACGGAGTAGGCTGAACAAATAAATGTGAATTGTTTGTTGCTACTAGCAATCTAGGGAATAAAACGTAGGGAATTTAAAGGCCAGAAATGTCTCAAAGTCTTTCATTTATCATTTAAATTTTATTATCAAAAGAGTTGGGAATACATAAAAAAAAAATTACCAGGTACCTATGCTAAATGTGTTTTTATGACTTCTAGTTTGAATGCCTTCTCAAAAACATTAAGGACTTCAAGTCCCTTATTGTAGACGATGTGTCATCTCTTCTTTGTCTATGAGATGTTGATAACAGCAAGTTCAGTTTCTGAGACCAGTCATTTGGTAAGTTATTCCGATCCTTGGGTTTCTGGAAATTGTTAATTCCTGCCAACCTGTCTTACTAACTACTAGCTTCGAGAGAGATGCATCTGACTCACCATCAAATCCAGAGGTTAGGCCATCCTCTTCATTGTTATCCTGGTATAATACTTGACAATTATTTCAATATTATTTTCAGTGACTTAGGTTAAGTCTTTCCACCTTTTTCCTCCCCAGCTTTCTCTGCGTAAACAAAAATATCAGTTGAAAAACTATCAACAAACTTCTCTTAATTCCATTCCACAAATGTGGCCCAAAGCCATATTTTTTTTTATCAACTTCGATGATAAGAATAAAAGTTTGGAAAGAACTATATGGCAGGGATTTCTCCTAGCTATTTGTCACTGCTTAGTCAGCAAACAAGCTTCTTGCCAAAAAGGAGCCAGGTTAATAAGAACAGTCAGGTTATGGGTACAGGAGCATCACAGAAATGCCAACATACAGACAGACAGGAGTCATCATCTGAGCCAATCGAATTGTTGAGTTGTAACTGTTTAAAGACTAGTGAGCTAGAGAGATTCAAGATTTGGAGAGAGAGGATGATTCATAGCACAAAGCCCAAGAGAATTGGCATGGGGTATGTGATCCACAGCATAGGTGGAAAAAAATAGCCTTAATAGGAGAAAGGAAGGGTGTTATTTTAGAGTCAGGAAGTCAGGGGAGTTTCTTTTAAAGAATTCTGTTTTCTCTGAAGTTGGAGGTGAGGTCATTCTTGGAGGGAGAGCAGGGGGGGTCAGAGGTCTGTGGAGGTTTAAAGTGGCTGTTGAGGGTAAGGGGAACCACTCCCTTAGCCTGGCAGCCCTGAGGGGCCCCTTGTATTGTTATTAACTATAATTGCCTCAAACTTTTTTTAAAATGAATTTTATCCAGACATCCCTGGTTGTATCCAGGTGGGTTATCTGGAGCCCCATTCACCCTCTGCCTGCTTCACACACCCCACCCCACCCAGCAGCCCCTGGGGCCCTTCCATTTGACCCCAGAACTCCTCAGAACACAGTTTAAATATCACTACTATCCAAGTTTTGAGACTGAAAAAAAATTTATATCAAATGAACACAAGTGCAGTCTTGCTCTTGATAAGATGCTGGGTCATGTGTTTTCTGTCAAAGTCATGATATCATTTTCAGAGCACATGTCTATATTTTCCACAGTGGATATGTATCACATTTATACTGCATTCTTTTTTTTTTTTTTAAAGATGACCGGTAAGGGGATCTTAACCCTTGACTTGGTGTTGTCAGCACCACGCTCAGCCAGTGAGCAACCGGCCATCCCTATATGGGATCCGAACCCGTGGCCTTGGTGTTATCAGCACCACACTCTCCCGAGTGAGCCACGGGCTGGGCCCATTTTTACTGCATTCTAACTGGAGTCAGAAATGAAGTTGATTCTGGATTCAGGTCAATTATGCATTAAAACCTACCAAAAGAGCTAGCATGCAGGAAATACCAAGGACATGTCTCCATCGTTGTGGGAAAGAAGCAGGTAGAATTCATTTTCTGTGTCTGTCCTGTCTCCTTATTTAACAATTAGAAAATAAGACTAGGGCTAGCTGGTTAGTTTAGTTGGTTAGAGGTCGGCCTTAGTAACACCAGTTTGGATCCCTGTACCAGACAGCCACAAAAAAGAAAAAAAAATTTTTTTTATGTAAACGTATGATCAGAGAGGCCTAAGTAACTGGGAAAACTCAGAAGCTCTTTCCCCCCAAAAATAGATGTATCTGACTAGACAAGAGGACAAACAATAACAACAACAAAAAAGGCACAAAACTATAATAAAGGTCAAAAGACTGGGGAAAATATTTGTAATACATATGATAGAACAAGAGTTAATACTACTACAAATTGATAAAGAAAAGGGCTGGCCGATTAGCTCACTTGGTCTGAATGTGGTGTTGATAACACCAAGGTCAAGGGTTTGGATCCCCACACCCACTAACTGCCCCCCCCAAAAAGAAAAAAAAACAAGCAAACCAAGAGAAAGGGAGGCAAAGAATACAAACAAGCAATCCACAGAAGAGAAAATCCAAGTGGTCAAAAATACAAAAACAGTAGTCAGGAAAATTTAAATAACTATGAAATAACCTATGCTGGAAAAGAACTGTGGAAATGGCACCCCATATTTATGGGGGGGGTGTATTACTACTGCCTTTAAAAAAATAATCTAGCAATATTTATAAAATAAAAAATAAGATTAACATACAAATACACATATACTTTGTATTCTAACTTTTTTTTTTTTTNGATGATAAGAATAAAAGTTTGGAAAGAACTATATGGCAGGGATTTCTCCTAGCTATTTGTCACTGCTTAGTCAGCAAACAAGCTTCTTGCCAAAAAGGAGCCAGGTTAATAAGAACAGTCAGGTTATGGGTACAGGAGCATCACAGAAATGCCAACATACAGACAGACAGGAGTCATCATCTGAGCCAATCGAATTGTTGAGTTGTAACTGTTTAAAGACTAGTGAGCTAGAGAGATTCAAGATTTGGAGAGAGAGGATGATTCATAGCACAAAGCCCAAGAGAATTGGCATGGGGTATGTGATCCACAGCATAGGTGGAAAAAAATAGCCTTAATAGGAGAAAGGAAGGGTGTTATTTTAGAGTCAGGAAGTCAGGGGAGTTTCTTTTAAAGAATTCTGTTTTCTCTGAAGTTGGAGGTGAGGTCATTCTTGGAGGGAGAGCAGGGGGGGTCAGAGGTCTGTGGAGGTTTAAAGTGGCTGTTGAGGGTAAGGGGAACCACTCCCTTAGCCTGGCAGCCCTGAGGGGCCCCTTGTAGGTAGTACTGCATGAAGGCAAAGAACCACAGTCAAAGTGATGGGCCAAGAGCAACAGGCCAGAGAAGAAAGAAATGAAGGCAGAAGGAACATGCCCAAAGGGAGAGAGAAGATGGGGTCAAAGAACTAGGTATGAGGAGCAACTGCGGAAAGGGCAAGGTGAGAGAAAAGTTTGGTTAGAGGGTGTCCAAGATATCATTTTAAGTTTGATAAACAGTATCAGCTTGAAATGAAATGAGTTATACTGCAATTTTATAATCCTGCATTTCAGCATTCGCTGTATTTATAGATTATAGTTTTTGAGCTTTTTAAAAATGTTTAATTTATTTTTTGTTAAAAAGAATACTGTAAGACTCAATGAATAAACGGGGAAAAAAGAAGCATGTTTTTATTTTATTTTACTATAAATTGACCAGTTATAGGTGTGTATATTTATGTGGTACGAAGTGATGTTACAATACATGTTTACAATGTGGAATGATTAAAGTGAGCTAATGAACATATCCATCACCTCAAATACTTATTTTTTGTGGTAAGAACATTTGAAATTGGGCTGGCCCATGGCTCACTTGGGAGAGTGTGGTGCTGATAACACCAAGGCCATGGGTTNACCCGGGGCCTTGGTGTTATCAGCACCGCACTCTACCGAGTGAGCCACGGGCCGGCCTTGTATTCTAACTTTTTAAAAATTTTTAAATCTATAGAAAAGTTGCAAAAATAATGCAATGAACATACCCTTTAAGTAGAGTCACCAATTATTAACTTTTTTTTTTCTTCTTTTGACTCTTGCTGGTTTGGGGATCTGAACCCTTGACCTTGGTGTTACAATACCACTTTCTAACCAACTGAGCTAACTGGCCAGCCCCAATATTTTTATCTTGAGGTCCGGGTGTGTCAGAGTCAATTAAAAATTAAATGGAATCAAACTGTATGCTCTGCCTGAAACAAACCATTAAGATTGATGGTTCTATTTGGCAATGGCCAAGCCCTGTGAGGGCAGGGAGTTTGCCTCATGCATAACTATATCTCTAGTGCCTAGAACACTGCCTGGCACATAGAAGGCTTTCAGTAAATGTTTCTTGAATCTGTAAGTGAATGAATTGAGTAAATGAATGAATGAATATGAAATTATTTGCATTCTTATGTGTACCCTTTATTTTCCATTCAGGTAAATATCTAACTCAGTTGTTCTTAGCTGAATAAAATTTCATTTAGAAATATGTGTTCTGGGGCTGGCCCGGTGGCGCACTGCGCTAGTGCGCCGCTTGTGAAGCGCGGCAGCGCTCCCGCCGAGGGTTTGGATCCCACATACAGACCGGTTCCTGCTCACTGGCTGAGCGAGGCGCGGGGGCAACACCGAGGGTTGCGATCCCGTTGCCGGTCCTGGTCCGGTACGGGGGTGACACTGAGGGTTGCGATCCGTTGCCGGACACGGAAAAAAGACAGAAAAAAAAAGAAATATGTGTTCTGAAGTAAAAACTATGAATTCTGACATGATAATTGGTGCCTAGCAGAAATAGTAATTGAAAGGCACTGGCCAGTTAGCTCATT